GACACGATCGCGACTCCGAGCTCTCAATCTCCAGATTTTCAAGATGCGTCGGCAAGTGCGGCGAGGCGACGGCATCACGCTGCCGTCGGTCTTTATCGAATTCTATACGCAGGAGGCGGCGCAGGCGGCGCACCAAGTTTTGACCCATCACCGGCCGTTGCAAATGTCGTCGCGCCTGCTTGGTATTCGACCCGACGAAATCATTTGGTCCTGCCTGCGGATGCCGTGGTGGGAACTCATTATTCGACGTTTTGGCATCTTGACCTTGGTGACGACGGCGATCATCTTTTGGGCGATTCCCTCAGCCTTGATCGGCACAATAAGCAATGTTGAAGGCCTGACCCAGAAGATCAAGTTTCTCGGCTTTCTCAACAAGCTGCCTGGCGTGATTCTTAGCTTTGTCCAGAGTTTTATGCCGGCAGCAGCCTTGTCTCTGTTGATGGCCGCGGTGCCTTGGATGCTACGATGTGCGTATTGAATAATTTCATCCTCCATCACTCTTGATTGATCAATGACTATTGGACTTCGCTGAGCATCTAACCTCTTGTTCTCAGTCTGTGGCGCCCAGTCTGGCATACCGACGACAACGCGAGTCGAATTGTTCGTCCAAAACGGATATTTTGCTTTTCAGGTTGTTCAAGTCTTCCTCATCACCACCCTCACTTCGGCGGCGTCATCGGCTCTGGGCGACATTCTGAAGAACCCTCTTGGCGCAAAGGACGTCCTGGCGCAAAACATTCCAAAGGCGTCCAATTTCTACCTGTCCTACATCATGATTCAGTGCCTGATGAGCGGGGGATTGCGCCTCATTCAGATCTTTGGTTTGATTCGGCATCACGTCATTAGCCGCGTGAGCGAGGTTCCTCGCTCGCGGTACAAGCGCTGGTGTAAGCTTGAACCGGCACATTGGGGTGGCGTGTATCCTGTCTATACCAACATGGGCGTCATTGGTAGGTGCATCTTGTCCACGCGGGCTGCGATACCCGATCCAAGCAGCATTTGCGTACTGACCTCGCCGTACCAGCCCTCAGCTACTCCTGCATTGCGCCGCTCGTCCTCCTCTTTGCCGCCGGAGGGCTGTTTGTCACGCAAGTAGTTTGGAAGTACAACCTGCTCTACGTGCTCGACTCCGATATGGACACCAAAGGGCTCTTCTATCCCCGGGCTCTCATCCACTTGACCATTGGCCTCTATCTTGCCGAAATCTGTCTTATAGGCTTGTTCGCGTTGAAAAGTGCCTTTGGGCCTTTGGCCTTGATGGTCATGTTCTTCATTTTCACGGGTCTGGTGCATTTCTCCCTCAGCGACGCAATCGCGCCTCTTTTGCTCAATTTGCCGCAGACATTGCCTCTCGAGGGCGAAATCCAGGCAGAGGAAAAAGCAAAGGCATTACGAGAGCAGGAACTTGCCACTGCGAGGCTGGAGGGGGACAGCGGGATAACGGGCGCGGCGAATGACTACTATGATTCCGAACAAGTCTTTGGCGACGAGGAGCCCATGGAGCAGTCGGACGTGGAGGAGGAGCAAGAAGACGAGGAGGAATCCGGCGACGAACACGGTCCCATCACCGGAACTCGAGCCGTTGAGGGTGCAGCCAGCATCGGGGCCACGCTGAAGGAATGGGCCAAGGCTACGACCCAAGCGAAGGTTGACAAGGAGATCAACAGATCCGGCTTCAACGAGTTCCTGGCCAAGATGCAGTTCTGGAACCACGACAAGAACGCCACCAACGAACCCCCGGGCTTCTTGACAAAATGGCTGCATCCAGAAGAATATGAAGATTTCGTGGCGTTGCGGAACACCATACCCGGGGACCAACTGCCTCATGTTGAATACCCGTCCGAGTTTAAGAAGCGATGCTACCTTCCGCCCGAGACGTGGGCGCCAAAAACCACTTTGTGGATACCTCGAGATGATGCCAGAGTCAGCAGACAGGAGGTTGCTCACACGAGGAAATACACTCCAATTTCGGACAAGGGCGCGGCCTTGGACGAGAAGGGGAGGGTTGTGGTCTATTTCGACCAGGCACCGATGAAGGAAGCTAGGTTGCTCCTGTAATGGGACATTTAATTCAGTAGGGCAAATTGTATATTATCTCCAAACCGCAACGCTATTCAATAGGACTTGCGGAACTAAACGCCATCCATCGTCGTAATGAAGAGTGTACATGACGGTAGAAGCTTATTGACGCCCACACAGCGAGGCTGTGGCCTCATGTAACAGCCCACGAAGTCCACAACACAATTGGCATGTTTGAACCTCTGCTACTTGATACCTCGGCGCGAGACAAACCGTCCCCTTGACGTGGTGCTCCAGTCCCTCCCTGCTTTTGCCCGTATATCCGTCCCGACACTGAGCAAGCGATCCGTCAAGCCGCTACTGCATGACGAGGACATTGCGAAATCGAGGCTTGCCAGCCACGAGGCTATCGACCGCTTTTTGAACATCGGCCAGGGGGTATTTCTCAATCATGCATTTGATGCCGTGAGTCTGAGCAAAACGGATAGCCTCCTCACTGTCTAATGCATGACCTGAAGGCCACCCGGCCACGCTCAAGCCGCGGAGAACCATGGCAACTGTGTCAATCTCTACACCACCAACAGGAGCTAGAGACAGAAGTTTGCCTCCCGGAGCAAGCCCAGCGAGCAGTCTACCCACGACTGCGGGACTGGGGGCTGTTTGAACGATGACGGCCGCGCCGCCGAGCTTCTTGAGCTCGCCGGGCCCGTCGAGTTTCTTGGTGTTGATGTAGTAATGGGCACCCAATTGTTTGGCAAAGTCGGCCTTGTCGTCGCCCGAGGAGAGGACAGCAACCTCGTAGCCCATTTTATGGGCGTACTGCACAGCAAGATGGCCCAGGCCTCCGAGTCCCTGAACCGCCACCAGCGCGCCTTGCTCGACATGCATCTTTCGGATGCCATTGAACACGGTGACGCCGGCACACAGCAGCGGAGCAACCTGTGCCGGGTCGGCATCTTTGGAGATGCGAACAACTGCCTCTTGGCGGAGCAGGACGTATTCCGCAAGGCCGCCGTCCTTGGTCAAGCCGTTGACGGCGGCCTCGTCACACATCTGGAACTGGCCGCGGCGGCATGCCCGGCATTGGCCATCGTGGCCGGCGTGCCAGGGACCGCCAACGCGCTGGCCGATAGAAATGTATTCCACGCCGGGCCCAAGCTCGACGACGTCACCGACAATCTCGTGCCCTGGGGTTCGGGGGAAGACGTCTCCCATATCCCCACGGGCCAGGCCAATGTCGGAGAAGCATAAGCCACACGCGAGCACCTTGACGAGAACCTGGCCGGGGCCGGGATGCTGGAGCTCAACATCTTGCAGTTCGAACGGGCCGTTGGATTCGGTAAGCACCACCGCCTTGAAGGTCTTGGGAAGCGCGGCCATGGGCGGAAGTGCCTGGAGAGAATGTCTAGACAGTTTCGCTTTTATTGAAAACCAGCCAGCAAGCGCTGTGGGCAGATTTGAGCCGCCACACTACTCGACCTGTGTTCCAGTGTCTTTTTTATAACCCGGTCATTCCACCACGAGTCCATTACGTCAATTGAGACTCGCCTCGCGCTTGGACGAATGCCTTTTTGAAATTGTGTGGGATCCATCGGCCGAGGTGACATTTGTGGTTTTTTTGGGTTCGCGATAGCTCCGGTAGCTCCGGCAGCTGCAAAGCTTGACGGAAACACTTGAGCATTTGGCTAGCCATGGTCTGGACTGTGGCACAACTCATCTTCGTGCTGGCCCGCGGATACGTCTCGGCGTTGCGCCTGGGTGCGGGGAAAAAAGTGAGGATCGGCAGCATCGAGTTTATTTCCTAACGAATAAAGTAATCTTAATAACGAAAAAAATCGTCTTGATAAGGAAAGGACCGTCTGGCAATGAATGAAGTGATGGAATTCGTCCTCTGTGATGCTGACGTCGAGGGCCGCCTGTTGACATCACTGATAGCGCTGACTTGGCCGGGAGGCACGGCCCTCGATTCCACGAGTCCTATCTGCACTTAATTGCCGCCTGATGATGCCTGGTTCACTGACGACTAGCGCCTGAATTTACGGCGAGACGACGAGGCAGACGAGCTGAATCGGACACTGAAAGATCTCCTCTCCAGGGACGACGATGCGGACATGGAGGCCGATGCCTTTATTAGGGTTGCTTTTGGCCTCCTCTAGCCCAGCCTCGACAGTTTTCTACAACAATCGGTTGTATCGTCATTGAATGTGATGCAGCGCTTCGCCAATGGCCTCGGCGTAGTTGGGAACACACCGAGCGATGCAGCTGAGGAAACGAACAGTAACAAACGTCCCCTACAAGAGGCGCTAAAGAACTTTCTTTCGACGTAACCCAGGCTGTGTGGCGCTGACGATGCCGTGTCTGGTCGGTGTGTTAGCCTACTTCCCATCGGCATGTCCCGAGAAGAAACGTACCCTGTTGCCTCCCTCTGGATGCACTCCCTTATCGACCGTTCCGAAGTCAGTGTCCGGGTATCGCTTTACTCAGACCGAAGCAAAGGCGCACGGGCTGCCCAAATAGGACATCTTTGGTTGCCACTGCCCAACCATATTCCCTCCTGCATCGGACGTCTTGATATTACTTTGGACGGATGTTGGTGACAAAAGGGCTATGGTCACCAGACCTCGGGCAGAAGGCTGCTGGATAAACAGAAGCCTGTGCACAGGTGCAAGGACCTTTTGGAGAGCCAGGGACCCTTGATAATAAAGCGTCTTGTATGTTGAATTGCGTCGCATGGCCACACCTGTTTTCTGGTTTGACAAATTAAGACTAAGCGCTCAAACAAGCCCTAGCTACAAGACGTGCTTAGGAAGGAGGTCATGGCACTTGTCGGAGGAGCAGTAAGCACTTCCACATCTGTTGACTTCTCTCCGCCTTTCTGGGGAGCAATTAGGGGAGAAAGGGTAGTCTAAGTAGCCAGCATCTCGTTTCTATCTGTAGTAGGCTTTCAACGCTGAAATTCTGTAGCCACATATCGCAACTGAACTCAAGCGGAATATTAGGCACGCATCCCGATATACATAGTGCTGGCTGCTTCCGAGGTCCATGTGTACCTGGACCTAGACCCGTTGCAGGAGATGTAATATCACGTTCCCAGAGACGAGAACATCAACATGTTCAACAGGACAGCATCCTATGGCTCACCCCAACTGGCCGTACACAAACAAATTCTCACTTCTTGCGGTCCAGCTCAGCGCGCTTCCTTCGAGTAGTCGCCAGACCCTAAAGTCCAGACTAGAAGGCCTTCGAGCGTTCTGTTGGATCAATCGGGTGGATTTTGAACAACAGCCTCACGGCGGAAGACGCACAGCAATTCGTTCCAAGCATTTCTTTGGAAAACCGTTGCCCGGGGCCAGCAACACAAGTTGACCATAGCGTGGAGCCTTTTGAAGACAAAGTATCAACGCCGCAGTCCGAGCCATAAGAGCGGTAATGCCCAGATTTGTGATCCTCTGGGTAATTGGCACGAGAAGAATTCAAGTATCCACGCCTGTCAAGGATGGCTCTCGGTTTCCCTTACCACCCAGCCTATATCCGCCGAGTGTGAAATTCTTCTTTCACTTGTGGACCGGTGGTAGGACCCCCGTGAGAGTCGTCTTGAAGCAAAACCTATTGGGACATGTGGTTATGGCCTGCGAGGCCGTGCTATTATCTCATTTTTATGTGAGGTTGAGACTCTTTCTTTGTATTAGTGGCGGAAGAGCAGATTAGCATCGAGATAGCTAATGTGATCAATGACGAGCTTTGAGAGGAGGCAACAGCGTGGCTGGAGGCCGTGGTGCAATGTTACTTTTTTAACAATAGCCTGTGCGTAAATAAGGTATAGCGTTAGGAATATCTACTCTGCACAACTGCTATATGCTAACGTAATAGATTCGCACACGAAATTAAATGGGGTGCGTGGATCAATAACTATCCACGCTATTTGCTTACTAGTACGTAGTCCGTAGATTTGGTGGAGTTGTTTAAAATTTATCAACCTTGTCCTATATTACATTAAAAACAACTTCCGATTAATCTGGGCTGTAGTTAACAAGCAAGTCCATCTGTAATCAAGCACTCTTTTTATGGCTACAGGGCGCTCAACATTACTACCATAATAACACAAATAGCGCATTACACGCACTACGACATGAACTTGTTGGGAAACATTGTACCCCAGCTGGCAGGCAAGCCAAATGTTCAACAATCTCAACAATCATAGCGGACGTATTCTATACTCTCCGGCCACCCATCGTGACCGCATGTTACTGCGCGACTCGAAAGAAAAGTGGGAATAGACCCAAGACAGAGGAGAAGTCTGGTAGTGGAAGCCTGTGAGGAACTAGCTGGCCTAGGAGCTTGAGTCAAGTAGCGCAACACGTCAGTCTCGGAGGCAACTGTGTAAATTATGTTAGTGGTAACTGCTGTAAACGGTCGACATCCTATCGAGTTGCTAAATTATAAAGATAAGAGCGAGGAGTTCGAGCTCAACGCTTTGCTTGTCCAAGTGGTTGTGCCTTGTGCAAATGTGTAATGGTTCAAGTGCGGCAAAGCTCCTGTGGAGATGATTGCGCTGGCGGACAACTTTGTCACTACTATCCTGGCTCAAAACCAAGATCCTGACCTAACACTGGGGAATTCAGAGTCAGAACGTGCCGAGTTCATGCCGAATCGTATGACATGAAACTTGGCACATCCGAATGGTAGCTGCTACAGTGTTTCTAGCGTTATTTGTGAAACAACCGCTGGCGACTTTAGTGCGAGGGAACCCCTTAGAACCAGACCAGAAGCTATGCTGCCGGTATATGAGTCATTTCATTCCACGAGACGCCCCCATGCCTTCGACTTTATTTTTGTCTTACTTCTTCGCTAAGTATCTGCGAAAACATCCTTATGTTGTCAGCTATAGCCTACAGCTGCTGGCAGCTTCCTTGCATCTAGCCTAGCTAAAGCAGCGCCACCCACCTGAAAGCTGGTTACTTTCTTTCATGATACGGGTTTGTGTGGGGACATAAATAAAGCTATGACTCCAAAAATTCACGAGGAAAAACTAAAAATGTGTACATGAGTAGTAATAGGCTTGGCTATAAGCTGAGAGCTGAGAGCAGGTTAGACCAAAAAATATAAAGAGGGCTGACTGCGGCCTTGACGGCTACACATCATGCCCTCGTCTGTCTCCTCTCTCAACCTTCACCTTGTCCCCCTTCTTGTCTATTGATGCCATTTCCTCTCAAAAATTAAACAAGAATAAACTATGAAGGCCACGCTCGCTATCTTGTTGCCCTTGGCTGGGTCCTCCCTAGCGGTGCCATCCGTCTCTCCTCGCGATCAAGTCAGCCAGATGGCATCCTGCAGGAAGAAGTACGCATGTGACGCGAAAGGATGCGAGTCCCAAGAGAGAGATGCAACTCAATGCTATCGCAATGTTCTCCTCAACGTCACGTCGTGTGTGGTCGACGTTAAGTCCACCAACACAGCTGATAATGTTCAGCAACAATGTAGCGCTAATGCCGTCTCAAGCGCCGCGGCCTGCTTTGACGGTGAAGAAGGCGAGGCCAAAAACAAGTACTCTCAAGCGCTGAAAACTTGTGTTCATCAAAGCTATACACAGTATATTGCCTGCTCTGACGTCGGAACTATCCCCCCGGAGGCGCCATCGACAACTGCCAAACCCACGGATACTACACACACCGATTCTGATGAAAACCCTGTCAATACTCCTCAAAACTCTAGTGTCCCTACAGAGCCTGACGATGATTCCAGCACCTCTGCAAACCCGGCTGTCCCCACAGAGTCTGTCGACGTTAATACCCCCGGGATCAACAATGTTCCCAAGGCCCCTGAGATTCCCCCAATGATCCCAGATCATCAGGATGGGAACCAGAACAAGAACAAGATAGAGTGGAAGACCCCTATCTTAAAGAAGACCTGGGAAGACAAGTGCGAGAACAAGTATCTCGACGCCTTTCAGGAAGATTGTACAAAAGGGGCGACGGATGCGTGCCAAGAACGGCCTATAAATATCGCTGCAACATGCATCTTCACAAGGTTGAACTACCATTCCTATTGTGAGGCAATTGCTATTGAGGGCGCGGTCCTCTGCACTGAGTACGCTATATTCAAGGGCCAAAGCACTCGAATGTTTGCATCCTGTATAGAGAAATACTACCCACTTGCCAACGAATGCGAAAAGGACCCAGGAAGCTTCGAAGAATCCTCACGCTCACCAAATAAGCCTGGGGAGGACGACAATATGAAGCCAAGCGAGCAAGACATGCAATTAAAAGAGGCCTGGGACGAAACCTGCAACAAGAAGCATGTTGATGAATTTGAAAATTGCCGCTCCCTTGAAAAGGGCTTAGACTGCTACAATAATTCTATGCGTTCTACGGTAGAATGCATAGCGGACAAAGTTAAGCCAACTGACGTAAATGATTCAAAGCATACGCAGTGCAAGAACAACTCGGTATCTAATATAGTAGACTGCAAGGAAAAGACTGAAAAGGAGTACCAAGGTAAGATGGCAGTCAGTGGCAACTATGCCTTCAGGTCTTGTCTTTATAAGGAGGGAAAGGCTTACCTTGAGTGCACTGAAAAGGCTTGAGTGCGCTAAAGCTAGTACATCTTGCTGCTTATAAAAAATTTAGGAAAGCTATTACTTTCAACCGTTAAGGACTAGCCTTAAACGGGCGACTGCGTGTAAGCATTACTAGTATTGACTATAGACTTGGAGAGAAAAGAGAAAAAAGGAGAAGTTCCCTGTCCCCCTTTTCTTATGCTATTATATATATATAGGTTCCAATATACAATTTAAAAGTATCTAATACGGCACTGATATAGTGCCTTGTGTATACTTGAGCTTATAGCTTGAGTGGAATTACAAATCCTCAATAATCTACAAGACTTACCACCTCGACGATGTGGTCATGGAGCCATTGGACAATCTCTTTACGAATAACACTATTAAATGATCTTGTGCTCATGTGCTGAAGCACATGATAAATTCCATTTTTCAAGACTTGAGGAAGTAGAGGCTTGGCAACGTTTTAGTGCGAGAAATCGGGCAAATCTACACATACGTATTCGCAGGCAACATATCCAACAGGCAGTCTCGCCCTCGACCTCAGACTGAAAAGCCTCTCTTGTAAATGAGGTAAATGAGTTTAAATTCCGTCTGTAAAATCCCTCATGGTCGGTCGGTCAT